TCCCTGACATTCTGTGATTCTGTGATCCTTGGCATTTGCTCCTCTTACAGGAGTTTCTTTTTTTTGTCTTTTCTGACCTGTCTCAGAACTACTGACCTTCATCTTTCTAGTGTGATGGAAACTGAGTACATGTTATTTACTTACAGGGTTGGGGGCAGAAATATGAAAATCAAAGTGGAATCAAGGATACTTGTACTGTAAATTTAACCAGCCTCTGCCTTACTGTACAACTTCCCACACCTTTTTTTCTCATGTTTTAGGTATATTACTCCAGCCTCCTCTTAGTTCTGCACCAGAAGGTTGGAGTAAGCATCCTAAAGAGAGTGTAATGTTGTAAGGGATCATCTCTTATCCCACTCTGCTTTCTGGTACCCATTCTTCTGGTTTATTTATGCTCCCAAATGTGTCTGGCCACTGAGTATGTGTGCTTTCTTTTTAATTCTCTGCTGCATTAATTTTTTTATAATGGAAATAAAATACTTTAAAGGAGATTCAAATAATATTTTATTTTCTTTTCTAAAAGAAAAGTGTATCTAATTTTCCCTGCAAATGTGTGTGACAAGGTTTAAAACCTTTCTTTGACTGATAATCTATGTCGAAGTTCTTAATGCAGTCAGCATTTCATGTCACTTGGTTTTGAAAGCTTTTAGATCCCAAATATGAAATGAGTGGAGAATTGGCTTGTTTTCCACTGAAAATTACAGCAAATGGATTTTTCTTCCCCCCATTTTTACTTTCAAAGGTAAGGATACTTTCTAATGTGAAACTACACTATCATTATATCAGCAGAAGCTCTGCAAAAAAACCAAGCTCATCTTGGCTATAGCAGAGTTTAAGTCCATTTATGTTTGCTGTGAAACAGTTTCTGTCTGCTAGTAGGAAATATTTTACATGGTTGAGAGCCTGACCATCCTGTTCTTAATGCAGGTATTCTCTGAACTGGTAAAGAAAAATAAAGTGCTGTAATAGGCACATATTTCTTTCCCCCAAAATCAAGTCATTGTTAGAGAAATGTAACATGTGGAATTATATATTGCTAAATTTTAGAAGCAATTACAGTGACTTCAATTTCAGTTTGACAATAACGGAACTGTCAGTTTCCTTCACTGTCTTAATGTGTTCAGAATCTGGTCATGAGCATTCATGCTTGTATTTGAATTTTTTATTAACAAAATGTCAAAAGATGGATGTTTTTCATTTCAAGGTACCTCCCTCTGCAAAAAAACTCCAACAGATGAGCCCTGTGTTCAAAGACAAATGGCTGTTCAGGTCCTTGAAAGCAGTTTGTTTTAAAGCACTTGTATGTTCTTTTTTTTTTTTTTTTTTAATTAGAAAGATAAAGGCTAATTTTGTGTTTGTAGATCAAATGCTGGATAGACTGACTGCTAGGTGGACTCCACCTGAAAGGTTTTGTTCTTGAGACACTTCCTGGAGAAAGGTCAAATAAAATATACTAAAGTACTTTGAATTACTTCTTGTCTTATTCAAAATAACTAGGGTTTGGACCTGGTGGAGAGTGGCAGAGAGAAGCAGTAGCAGGCAAAGCAAAGCAGGAAGGGGAAGCCAGCAGGGCCATGTCAAGCACATGGCAGGCAGTTTCATTGCCCTCCAATGCTTTTGTACAACTCCCACTGAAGTCAGCACGGGCTGTTTGCCAGTTCCTTGGGTAAGAACACGTCCACTGCACTGTCCCACCTATCAGTCCTGCGAAGCGGAAGCCCTGCAGCTGAGGACTGAGTTAGATCAAAGTCTTCAACTCACAGGTAGTCTAGTGGGAAGTGTAATCCTGGAGGGGATTCTTAGAGCAAAATCTGCAAAACCTATTCACAACAGAGCTGGATAGCACTAGAGAATCGACCAAGAATACTCTGAAAATGCCTCTTTGATAGGACAGCAAATTTCTCATCCTTCATGATGGGATGAGACGTGTATTTTGCAAGGAGTGGCTTTTGTGAAAACAACAGAACTGACTAGAGATCAGATGTTGCCATGGGAGTCTACAGGGAAACTCCCACTGACTTCACAGGGAAAAACTAAGCCCAGCAAAGCTACTGTTTTCAGTAAGAAGCTGTATTTCCTGTAAGAACTCTCTGTTTTTAAAACATGTAATAAAGAATGCACCTTGAAATACTCAATAAGCGCTTTTGAATACTTGACTGCATGGTCTCTCTTGAGTCGAAACATCCTCCAGTACAGAAGGGCCAGGCAGCGGTAACTAGAAAAAAAAGGAGAGCAGAAGGTAAAGTGTGCCCCCTGAACAGTAATCCCAATTAATTACCTTACATTCTCAAACTAACATGCAGTGGAAGGCTGACGGCACCTTGCTTACTGTTATTTTCACCATTTGTTTACAGTATTTCACACTTTGCCATGGATTCATGAGGACGACCAGGCGTTACAGCCAGGAGAGGTCACACTGACTGACAAAGGCTACCAGCGAGGTACTAACCAAACCACACTCAGAAAGGTTTTCAGGGTTAGGTTCCCAGGCCTTGACTCTGACTTGAAGTCTGCACACTTGTCCAAAGGCCCCTCCCATGAAAAGGCTGTCACAGACCTGGAACCCCAATATGCATTTTTTTTTTATTTCTTGTTGTAAATACAAAGGTAACCTTTCAGGGTATCTTATCTTTCTTACAACAGCCTGGAGCCTGTATAATGAACTAGAGTCACCCTGGGTGTATTTTGTGTACACTCAGTGGTCTCTTCCCACAGCTGGAGATAGCTGGGAAAACAGGGAAACCTCGGACTTGCCCAGATTTCACTGGCCAAGCTCCTTTAAAGGAAACCAGAATGGAGCTTGTGTTGGAGCCTGGTGTCTATTCCTAGGCCACCTGCCTGATTTGTTCCCCAGAATAAACCAGCAGCGGTCTGAAACACTAAAAGTGCTGTACTGGAACTGTCTGCCCCCCTGCTCCTCGTTAGTCTGCAAAGTGCCACACACCTTTAATGCTATGTAATTAAATGAGAGTAATATCTATTAACTATAATTATACATCACAATAACTGACAATCAGCATTCAGGACACATAAACTCTTTTCTTTGCTCTTGGCTTTAGGTGCACTGGTCTGTTTTCTGAATTAACACTCCCCACCACCTCTTCCTAGCAAGCTTTTTGATCAGCAAGTGTGGAATTGCCCCACATTCACACAGCTTTCGAAACAAAAATCTGGTGTGTTTCGTTTTTCCTTGGGCAGCAGAAGCCTTATTTTTAAAAGGAGTATTTAGTCTCGGAGCCAACCTGAAGCACCAGAAGGTGGCTTGAGTCTGGAAGCCCAGAGTGCTCTCCATCTCCCCGTGCCCAGGAGGTGCCCAAACCTCAGCAAACCCCTCGAATTAGCAAATTGCCCTCGGAAAAGATCCCAGGCAGGGTTTCTCAGCCGGTGAATTCCTGCCTTTGGCCGCTGGAGGACAGTCTCTCCTCAGGAGAAGCGGAGCCGGGCGCGGCGGCCCGGGCCTGGCAGCCGGCGCCGGGAGGAGCCGGGGGATGCGGTGGCCTCGCAGCCACCATAACTCTGGCTCTGTCACCTTCACAGGTACAGCGCGTATGCAAATGGTGTCAGCTCATCTGCTGCCTGCCAGACGGTGAGTGAGGATTGCTCTCCAGCGCCCAGGGAAGGCCCCGTCTGCTCTCCCTTGCGCTGACCTTTCTGCTGGAACAGATGCAGCGGCTCCGTGAATTTGGATGCGGTTCCGCACCCACCGCCCAGGCAGCTCTCGGCAACCCTGCGGAATATGGCTTTATGTTTTTCCAACTGTTCTTTAGTCGTTTTCCCACCTAAGTGTTTTGAAAGCAACTGCCTTCGTGCCTGCATGCGGTGCTCCTCCCGATGGCACAGCAAACCGGTGACAAAGAAAGGGCTTTTTTTTGTTTTTTTTAAAAAAAAAGGCACCTCTGAACATTTTCTTCTTTTTTCTCCAAATGATTAATTAGGACTCCTTATTTATGGAGGCTAAAGATGCATTTAATTTGGATTTTTAACAGATGGTTAATAGATGTTAAAAACCCATTTGCCGATTGTAAATGTCCACTTACTGAGAATCAGTAACCATGTAATAGGCATTTAACGTATTAACTACACAGATATTAAATTAAAATTTGATTTTAATAACATTTTAGTATTTTACCAGCAATCTGCAACCCTCCTACAGAATCTAAGGTGTGTGCATATATATCTAGAAATCTCAATTTAGAAGGTAATCCAAGAGCCTTAATTATCACCGTCACCGTATCTCCCTTCCTATAACGTAAATATAATTTATGATTATTGAGCCTAAAATGCCAGCCACAAAAGAAATTACTGAGCTATTGGTACAAAAGTACATCACTCATAAAAACAACAAACCATCGGGCATTTAAAAATTAATTACACTGACGTACCGTAGCTGACCTGTCACAGCCAATAAGTATGAACTGCTTATTTACAGAGACAGAATGCAGACCTGGTACAGTGATACAAGGGCTGGACCTTCCCAGAGCAGAAAGTATGCTCTTAATTTCAATAGACAACAGAATCCTATCTAGCTGTGTCCAACATCGGATTTTCAAGAACTGTCTCACTGCAGGAAAGAAGCCTTTTGAGGAAATCTTGAACTACTGACCATAACGCTGCCAGCTGCTTGTCTTCTGGTGTGGCGTTGGGGCCTGAGTGGGTTTTTAGTCTCACTGCATACCTTAAGCAAAAGGAAAAAAGCCAAAGTGAGTTAACTGAGACAGCTTTAGATTACTGATCAGAGAGCTCACCGGCCGATGTCATTTCATCTGCCCCCTTATACATACTTGCTCCAGTTACTAAACATACATCGGCTTTTCTGGTTGTGTTTCGGAGCTGGTTTGCCAATCAGTGCCTCCCTGCGCTCTTTAAACAGCAGTGACTCCCCTGAACATCCATCAGGCCAGAGGGGAGCCTAGCTGTCGAGATGATGCTGTCCTACCTAAACAATCTCTGCTGCTGTGGAGACACAGTTACACAGAGTTCATGCAGAAAGGTTTCTGCAGCGTTTGAAGGCAGACAGCCTGCCCTGAAGCTGGTGCTGCCCTCACCCCGACAGTTCTGAGTGTGTCTACCCAGATTTGCTCCTCCAAGCAGAGCACAGCAGAGGGGGAACATGTGGCTCGGAGCTATTTTTGCTCATATGACATTACATTCAAATTCTATAAATATTAAACATCCACAGAGGTAGCACTGCTGTTTCAAGAATGTATGTGCTATGCAATCACAAATTAGGTTCTGGAAATCTCAGCTTCCAGCTGAATACCTGAACAATGGACAAGGTTAGGACAACACACAGCACTTCTGGGCTTGCTTCCAGAAAATACCTGTTCCCCATAATTAGCTGCTTGGGTTTTTTCTTATCTTTGCTTTCAAACTTTAATCCTGACACCTGTGCAAAGCTTTGGTATGAACATTTTGTTTCAACAGGCATACTGAGCAAACCACTTATTTTTCTGAGCTGCAGCAAGTGAGATCAACAGCAATTCACACTACAACACAACTACAGCTACACACATTATTGAAAGCTATGGATCTGTAAGCAAAATTCATTTCCAGAGTTAGGACCATATAGTTACCATCATGAGAAAAAACAGGGCAGACAAAGAAAGAGCTTTCTGCCTTTTGAAAAAAAAGAAGGGAAGAACTGCAGAGACGGGATGTACTATTCTTACTGAAAAAAAAAAAATGTTTAATATTGTTTAATAACCTTCCAGTTAGAAAGCTGGCCTCAATCCACTGAAATGCATGTGAAGACAGCCCTAAGTGGAATAAAATGACAATGGAATTGTTAACATGTGAGAAAACCATCGCATCAACACTAAGTCCAAAAGAAGCAATTGTCTTAGAAGCTTTGCTCCATTATGAATCTGATTAAAAATTAAAATGTTTTACTTCCTATGAACTTAGGCCTGATGAGAGCTGCATGGCTGACTGTCCTGAGGAATGATGCCATGGTCACCAACATTGCAGCTTTCTCTGCTAGTGTAGCTGGGCTCCCTCTCTTGCAGAGAGCGTCACTCCGCTGCTGGGATGATTCTGAACTTTGCGTTCTCTACCAACGCTGTCAATAATGCCAACTATTAGTACCAACTATAAAGGTGGAAAGGACTTAAGAGACAAACTTCCTTCACAGAGACTGAGGGTGGAACTGAATTCTAGACTGTTCTGTTTGGAAAGCCATGAAAGTGACTAAATGTAGGGGTAGCTTTAGTGTGAGACTGCTTTTAGGACTCCGCTGGCTATAGTAGGAGCATACACAGCAAATGGACCTTGAGTGTCCATTTTTCTATCACTCTTCACATCTTCTTTCAGGTAAACATTAAACTGCAGTCTTAAACACCTTGTAACATTTTGCAAACTACCACTACATTAGAATGTTTTGGTATTATGTATTATTATTTTTCCATTTTGAGTAGCACGGGACTTACAACATGAAACTCTTGAAGTAATTTACAACTCAAGTAACATGAAAAGCTTTGGTCTTTCTTTCCTTTTTTTTTTTTCTTTCTTCCCCCCATTCTACATTCTTCCCCCCATTTCCTGATTTACTTTCCACAGAAATGACAGATAATACATACATATTACATATGACTGACCAGGCACTTGCGAGGACCTCACTTCTCCTCTTTTACTGTACCTAGGGAATTATGTGTTAATGTAGATGAGCGTGTTTGCACAAGCAGAGCAACCCCTGGGATCTTCTCCTCCCTTCCTACCTGATGAGTTCAACTGTTTCTGAATACATTGTATAAGGAGATTTAGATTCCATTGGGCCTTGTTCCATTGCATTTCCACACTCAATAAATGATAGTGCTGCTTCTGCATAATTCAGTGCCTTTCCAAACTTTTCCACCTAGAAGGAAAAAATAAGGACATAGAGAAATAGTGTAATCATCAGATATGGTTACATTTGATGGGATTTTATCAACTTGTAAACTTGCTGCAAGTTGGTGTATCTTGAGATTCACAAATTTTTGTATGAGAAAGCTAAAACCCATCAAACCCTGTGCATCAGTGAAAATCAGAGGATACAGAAAGTAGAGCTGAAAAAGGCTATAAGATGTTATTCGGTCCACACTCTTGTGTCCAAAGAAGGATCAACTCTGCCTAGGACATTCCTGACATTGATCTTTGTCAAAGCTTTTCCAGTGCTGGAGATTCCACAAACTCATCAGGCCTTTTGTTCCAGCTTTCATTAAAAAGAGTTTCACACATGTTTGCAAATGTTATTTTTCATCACTCAAGAAAGAAAGGTAATGATTAGCTGAACTAAGATAATCAGAAATAACACTTTGACTACTCTCTTATTCAAAGGCTCATCTCTGTTCTCATGTCTTCTTTATCCCTACCATTTTCAGCACTGCTTGACCACACTCTCATTTTGTCAGGAATTTGCTTTCTATATCCTTCTGCTCTTTCAGGGACTGCTGTGCTCCCTCAGCTTCTACTCCTTCCACCCTTCTTCCTTGCCCCATTTCTTCTCCTATTTTCAGTACTTCTTTGACTCTGTGTGTATTTGTGCACGATACAGGTATACCTACATATATGTTCTCAGTGACAGTGTATATGCAAATATGCATATAATGTTCATATATGTACACTTACATACCACTTATCTTCTCTCAGAATTTAAATTTTGATGGGGATAGAGATGAATCATACTAATACCTCTCTGTCCTGACCTCTCTTTCCTTCAGTCAGAACTCCTGCGGTACATAAAGTCCATTAATGGACTGGATGCATTTGGTTGAAAACTGACGCACACAGTGAAAGGTTAATGGACCTTATTCTTTTCCAAGGGATAAAGATTTTAAATAGTAACTTTGGAATGGCACACTGGCTTCAATCTATTTCAGGTTCTTATATGACTCCCACTGCAATCATACTGGAGATGGAGAACTTCACAAACTTTTTATTATATTTCTCTCCCCAACACTCTTGTGCAGGTGGAAGTGCTATTATCCCAATTTCACAGATGGGGGACTAAGGAGCAGAGAGACTCAGAGTAATTTTCAGGCTGCTCACTCTAAGTGCCTATGTTAGGTACTGCAGTGCCAAAATAGGAGGTATCGAGCCCAGCAAGGTGATTCAAAGTGCCTGGAGGCACTCTGGCAATATGGCAATTCCTCCAGGATCCCTACACAGCCCATGAGGGAGAGGAGGTACCTTCAAAGGGTGATTCATAAGGTGTAAGTAAGGTGCTGGTCCACTGTGTACAGAAGCTGAATGTGAAGGATGTTTCAGTCACCTAACACTGATGGGAGGTTATTTAAACTGTGCCTAAGTGACTCTCATGGAGGAAACTTGTGGCAGAGCAGAGAATAATGCTTACACCTACTGGTTCTGTGAGTTTACCATAAAACCATTTATTTTTAGGCTAAGAATTTCCTTTGCATATTAAGTGATTTTTTCCATTCTGTTTAAAGCAACACACTAAAATGCACCATTTGTACTTCTCCACAATATTTTCTGATTTAAGACTCACTTTAGAGTAATATGGAACTGAATAAACCATGGAAATTTGAGCAGATAAACTCAGGTAGAGTGTAAAACTCCGTGTCAGTGTTCTAAATTAAGGGCCTGCTTCTGCTTCCTTGGCCTCTTTAAATTCTGCACAGCTGAGAAAAAGAGGTGAAGAAGCAGAGGCTCTGAGCTACCTTTCTTCTTCCTTCTGCTGTGACAACAAAGTGTCTGTCTGACAGAGCAAGGCAGGACTGGAGATACTCCCACCTGCAAGACAGCCATATTAATGCAGGGTCCCACCCCATATATTACATCTGCCATCCCAGAAGTCTAATGTTTTTAAGGCTCTGCCAGCTTATTTATACTGCTGGACAAATGTAGCCTTGAAGAAAGGCTGGGGCTGTTCAGCCTGGAGAAGAGAAGGCTTCAGGGAGACCTCATAGCAGCCTTTCAGTACCTGAAGGGGTTACAGGAAGGATGGGGAGGGACTTTTTACAAGGGCAGGTAGTGACAGAACAAGGGGTGATGGCTTTAAACTGGAAGAGGGAAGAAATAGATTGGATATGAGGAAGAAATTCTTTCCTCTGAGGGTGGTGAGATACTGGAACAGGTTGCCCAGAGATGCTGTGGATGCCCCCTCCCTGGAAGTGTTTCAGGTCAGGTTGGATGAGGCTTTGAGCAACCTGGTCTAGTGGAAGGTGTCCCTGCTGATGGCAGCAGGGTTGGAACTGGATAATCTTTAAAGTCCCTTCCAACTCTAACCATTCTATGAATCAATGAAAGCTGAAAGACAGCTAAGCAGAGCTCTCCTGGAGCACTGCGTACTTCGTTGCACCCGTTTGTTTGGAAAGACAAGCATCTCTTTAATGCTCCATATAATCTCAGATTCCCCTTTTTCAAGAGGGTCTTACCAGCTACATTTTTAGACAGGTCAAAGCCAGGGCCAAGAATCTGTTTGTTGCAACAGTCTTTTGTGTGCAAGGTGTTCCTCTCGGGTTACACAGACTCCTTGTGAGCTTCTGACTATATTAAGAGAGGTCTGCCATGAAACCAGCATTCTTTTGACACTGAAGAGCCAAAGCTCTTAAAAAAACCGTACAAATATCTCAGCCACCAGACCAAATTTGGGGATACAATTATAGGACCTAGCCAGCTAGTTAAACTGAGAAGATAGATATGTGGATCCCTTACACAGCCTCCATTACTATACTTACTAATCAAAGCAAAGGAATAAATTGGAAGTTTTATTTATCCAGGCCTTTATCTCAGTAAGTCATTATTTGTTAAGTCATAGTTTATTGGGCTATGAACGTTTGATTATATAAACATTTCTTAATTTAACAAGCCTAGCCACCCTTATAATAGATTTTATAATTACCCCAGCAATACTGCACTGATGAAGAAATTGCATTACAAAAATAATTTGGGAGCAACATAACTGGAAAGAAAATGTTCTCACCATTGCATCTGCTTTATGCTTCTTCCGTTTAGCTTCCTGCATAAAGTAATCTGCATTGCGTGGCCTACCAGGGGAAAACAAGAAGACATTTTATTATTTTCTGAAGTGCAGAATATTTTCAAGTTATTTTTCCCTTATTTTAAACCTGATTTGCAAACATTCTTTATGAAGAAAATACACTTATCATGTAACCATGCATCTTCCATTTCCGAATTGCTGCCTGTGGAGACAATAGCATTTATGGCTGTTTTCATTCTTTAGAAGTCAGTGATTCAAAGCGAAAAAAAGCTAATAAAATCTGGTTTTATGGATTATATAAACCACTTCTCAAATTAGTGCAGTTTTGATCTGTAAAACGGATGCAAGTGTTAAGTGGAACAAGTTATTCCATCTTCTCCTCTCCCTGGTGCTTGCTTACCTCTTTTTCTACTCCTCTCTGTACACTGTCATTTGCCTTGGCTTCTTCCTCCTCTCAAAACAAGTGTATGTTTAATCTCTCCACTTTGAAAACACACATCGAACCTGCTTGCCTCCATAACTATCATCTCACCCCCCTTCTCCCTCTTATCTGTAAGCATGCTGAGAGTTCTGTTTACTTTTGCTGCCTGGAGTTCATCTCTGACTCAGTGCTGGGCTGCCTGCTCCAATTCTGCTTGTGTTACTTGTGACAATTTCTCCATTGATTTCTCCTCAAGCAGATCTCGTAGACTCCATCCCTTCCTTAACCTACCTGGCCTGCTGACTGTGGGGCACAAATTCAGCTGCTGCCTCTGTGCTGAAATTCACAAGTTTGTTTCTGATCCAGACTTAACCACTTCTACTCAAACTGAAAACACAACCTGATGTCTTCTTGGCAATGTCTGGTCACCACCTCAGTGAACTCCTGATGGCTGAAGCAAATTTCTTCATCTCCTCCCAGAAGCTCTTCCTATTGCACCTTTCTCAGTCAGTGTGGAGAACAGCCATTTGCTATCCCATTTCATGCCATAACCTTGCACCTTCAGTTGTTGCCTCTCATAAAAGTCTGCACATTTCCTGACCCTGCAGATTCTTCCAGTCTCATATACATGGGAGATGGCCACCTTCTTTCTCTACTCAGCTAAAACATGTCTTGGTTCTCAGCTCATACTGTGGTTACTGCCATGTCCTTGTCTCTCTCAGAGAAGGAAGTTTTGCCTTGCAAAATAGTTTTCTTAGCATTGGTTAGAGTGTCATCCCTTTGCCCTTATCTAATGAAAATGAGATATTCCCAAGCAGAGTATGAATTCTGATGTTTTTACCATTCATGCTTTTAAGCGCTTGGTGTTGTAAATGATACGGTGTTCCTGCCACTCCGCAATCTGTTGTGGGTTAACCCTGGCAGGCAGCTCAGCCCCACACAGCCGCTTGCTCACTCTCCTCAGCAGGGTGGGGGAGAGAATCAGAAGGATAAAAGTAAGAAAACTCATGGGTTGAGATAAAGACAGAATAATAGGTAAAGCAAAGCAGAATAAAGAATTAAGTCACTGCTTCCCATAGGCAGGCAGGTGTTCAGCCATCTCCAGGAAAGCAGGGCTCCGTCAGGCTTTACAGTTATGTGGGAAGACAAGTGCCATCACTCCAAACATTCCCCCTTTCTCCTTCTTCCCTCAGCTTTTATGGCTGATCAGTTGGGGTCAACTGTCCCAGCTGTGTCCTCTCCCAACTTCTTGTGCACCCCCAGCCTCCTTGCTGGTGGGGTGGAGTGAGAAACAGAAAAGGCCTCGATGCTGTGTGAGCACTGCTCAGCAACAGCTAAAACACCCCTGTGTTATCAGCACTGTTTTGGTCACAGATCCAAAACACAGCACCACACGAGCTACTGTGAAGAAAATTAACTCTATCCCAGCCCAAATCAGTATACAATCCTAACTATTTTTTTTTGAAATTGGGATTTCTCAGCACACTTGTTTAAAAAAATGTTTTGTGCCAAAGAAGATATAGATCTAAAAACTGAAGTCAGTGGGATGGGCGAGTAAAAAATTCTTGCTGATAGCAGTACGACCATGCTCAGATCCATAACAGATCAGTGGGAGCAAGGGAAGCCTCTTGACAGAAGAGGACATCTTTGTATACCTCCTTGAGACCATAAGGCTATTTGGCAGTGTGTTTACTTAGTCTATTTCCTTCTACTTACGTGCACACAGTTTCAAGGATGTTTAATTGCATCACGGAAGACTAGTCAACCTAATTTTGAAGAGAAGGAAAGCTAAATATCACTAGATGGAAATAAAATTTAAAGTCTGGCTAATTTCAAATGACCTCTGCTCTAAAAATCTTGTTGATATGAAGAAAAACAGTTCATTTGCTCCAATTTTATTTAAAATATTACTCTCAGAGTGGAATTTCTCCCCAGCTTACTCTTCCCAGGAGGTCTGAAAGGGGACTAAAGACAGGTTTGTGCTCCAGTATCTCATAACCTACTGCAGCTGCAAATGCATCCTGTGCCCAGCAAGATACAAACATTATCTTAATAATACGAACTGTCTGGATTTGGTCTTGGTCAATTATGAAATATAAGACATTGAAACAGTGTTATCTTGACACAGAAAAATAACAATGTTTTCAGAACCACTGAAAGAATTAAAAAATGTTAAGTCCTGTCTCTCTGTCTTGTGCAAAGACCTAGGTAAGATGCTTTACTATGAAATGCCAAAAGGCAAAGCAAAGCAGAGCAAATCAATAAAGCAATGGTCTCATCTCTCTGAAATTATCAAAGTGATGAACCTTTACATGATCCTTTCAATTCAGGTCATTAAAATATGTCTTTTGCAACATTCCCTCCCATATATCACTCAGCACTATATATCTCTAATTTGCTTGTTTGAGCACAATAAGAGGCTGTAAAAACAAAGTGAGATAACACAGTGTAATTATGGTCTACTTATGTATAAGTTCATTGTAAAATGCTTTTCAACTTGTAGCAGGATTTATTCTCCTGAGTTATGATTAGCAATGAGGGTATTAGCAAGAGGCATGCACATTACTGAACCAATAAGCCCACTCTGAGGGCGCTGCTATGGGGTGGTTAACCATAATGCAACATGCAAAAACTGAAATCATTCATTTGTACTAAGTCAAATTGTTTTTTTGGGAAGCCTAATTTCTGGGTTTTTAATGAGAAAGAAAGGTTTCAAATTAAGTGGGTTTTATATTCCTACTGCACATGAACATCATTTTTCTTTTTAAATCCAGTATACTCATTTAAATTACTATGTAATGAAGTAAAAAAAAAAAACACAGAAAAAACCCTTCTTCTATAGGCTTCTTGAAGATAACAGGTTACCTCAGCTTAGGGACATACAGAGACACATGAGAACGCTGATCCATAGATTAATTACTCGGGATAGCTCCCTTGCATACTGCATGTTTTGTATCTATGAAGTTCATAAAAGATTTTTAATCATATTCTGATTTTACAGACCCTTAAATTATAGTGACTGAGAATCCATATCTGTTACAAATGTGAAGGTTCATCCAAATTTCCTCTTCAGCTTGGCCTATTTAGTTACACTGGTGATAACCTCAGACTGGAGAATTTGCAGGTAATCTCACTGGATGCTAATTTCAGATACTCTGTTGATGAGAGGCACTTTGAGGAGGAGTAAATCTGTTTTCCCACTGACGAGATTCAGACAGATCTGTGGCTAAACCCCTTTTCAGGTCTTTGGTCTAAGGTCTGCAATCCCTCTGCAGATCACAGCCTCGCTCCAGCCTGAGAAGCCAGAGAATAGATAAAATTTCTACAGGATTAAAATGGTACCAGGCTACCGGTTGAACTGGAGTGGATGTCAGTAGCACAAGAAGCACTGGAGTCTCTTTGTTAGGTTTACTGGTCATGAATGTAAACTGAAATCCCACAGAAAGTTATTCAGTGACTTCTGGTTTTCAGACAATTGAGTCAGATTCTCCTCTTAAGTTATTTACAACCGTATGTATCTATTGATGTCAGCACTGTCACTCCAGATTTACAAACAGAATTCAGGCCTCTTTAAAAAAAAAAAAATTAAAAAGAAGTCTGACTTCAAATTAACAGGTAGAAACAAGTGTTTTATCTCTATTAATAATCTTGACTGCACAAGAAAGTCTTTTGTTTCTGAATATCTGATTGTTGGTACTTTTAGAAATATAGTAGTCTTCAACAAAGCCAAAAAGGAGTTCTAATACACTGCTCTAATGCATCTCATATATCTCTCTGAAAGGCAAGAGAAAGAGCGTAAAGCATCAGTGCCAACTAAGTCAGGCCACTGGTGAATTCTCCCGGGGATCAAGTGTCATTATGTGAAACTGGCTGCTCTCGAGGAGAATTTACCCTACTATGCTGATTGGGGAAAGCAATCAAGTATCACTGGAACCATTTCAACGCATTCTCAGTCAACACTAGCCAGTCACCTAGGCACTGCAACAGAATCCAGCTTTTTACAGAATAACCCCCCCACGGCTAGATCTGATAGTACAAACAAGGCCAGGCTTCCTTTTCAGCAGTGGCATTCAAACCATTTATGACTTTGACAAGGGCAGCCTCAGTAGCATGGCTGTGGCTGACTCCAGGATGAAATTTATCAAACAATCTGCTACTGTCCAGAATTTTTCTCACTCGCCTGGCCACCGCTTTCTCTGGGAGCTTGTCGAAAACCAGCAGGAAAGACAGCATTTCCATTGCTTGTTCTGTTGTGCGGGATCGCAGCGTGAGGTGAGATGGCTGCAGGCATGGTAATTACTCCCCTTCCAGAAGCAGCCTTTCAGAATTTCCAGGCTGTTGAGCTCCTAAGAGTGGTGTTACCATTACCCAGGTGAAATGCCTGTGTGTGCGTCTGTTTCTCTCTCTCTCTCTCTCTCATCATATTTAGCTCAATGCCATTACAGCACATCTCTGACACCTTTGTCTTTTGCTGCCTTCTCTGAATTTAATTTACTCCAGTTTAGCAGATAATTGCAAAAAGGTAAACTCATGCAGTAAAAAAAAAAGGGAAGAGAATCAAACAAGGTGAATCAATAAAAGCCTTACTTCGTGCAGTAATTTATCAGCATCTACTGCAACATAAT